TCTGGACCAAATGGACTTCACAGACAGATTCAGAACATTCCACCCCAAAGCAACGGAATACACATTCTTCTCTAGTGCCCATGGAACATTCTCCAGAATAGATCACATCCTAGGTCATAAATCAGGTCTCAATGGGTACCAAAAGATTGGGATCATTCCCTGCCTATTTTCAGACCACAATGCTTTGAAACTAGAACTCAATCACAAGAGGAAAGTCGGAAAGAACTCAAATACATGGAGGCTAAAGAGCATCCTACTGAAGAATGAATGGGTCAACCAGGAAATTAAAGAAGAATTAAAGAAATACATGGAAACCAATGAAAATGAAAACACAACTGTTCAAAATCTTTGGGATGCAGCAAAGGCAGTCCTAAGAGGAAAGTATATAGCAATACAAGCCTTTCTCAAGAAACAAGAAAGGTCTCAAGTACACAACCTAACTCTACACCTAAAGGAGCTGGAGAAAGAACAGCAAATAAAGCCTAAGCCCAGCAGGAGAAGAGAAATAATAAAGATCAGAGCAGAATCAATGAAATAGAAACCAAAAGTACAGTAGAACAGATCAACGAAACTAGGAGCTGGTTCTTTGAAAGAATTAACAAGATTGATAAACCCCTGCCAGACTTATCAAAAAGAAAGGAGAAATGACCCAAATCAACAAAATCATGAATGAAAGAGGAGAGATCACAAGCAACACCAAAGAAATATAAACCATTATAAGAACATATTACGAGCGACTATATGCCAGCAAATTAGATAACCTGGGAGAAATTGATGCATTCCTAGAGATGTATCAACTACCAAAACTGAACCAGGAAGAAATAGGAAACCTGAACACCCTATAACCACTAAGGAAATTGAATCAGTCATCAAAAATCTCCCAACAAACAAGAGCCCAGGGCCAGATGGCTTCCCAGGGGAATTCTACCAAACATTTCAAGAAGAATTAATACCTATTCTTCTGAAACTGTTCCAAAAAATAGAAATGGAAGGAAAACTTCCAAACTCATTTTAGGAGGCCAACATTACCTTGATCCCCAAACCAGACAAAGACCCCATCAAAAAGGAGAATTACAGACCAATATCCCTGATGAACATGGATGCAAAAATTCTCACCAAAATACTAGCCAATAGGATCCAACAGTCCATTAAAAGGATTATTCACCATGACCAAGTGGGATTTATCCCTGGGCTGCAAGGTTGGTTCAACATCCGCAAATCAATCAATGTGATACAATCCATTAATAAAAGAAAGAACAAGAACCATATGATCCTCTCAATAGATGCAGAAAAAGCATTTGACAAAGTACAGCATCCTTTCTTGATCAAAACTCTTCAGAGTATAGGCATAGAGGGTACATACCTCAATATCATAAAAGCCATCTATGAAAAACCCACAGCAAATATCATTCTCAATGGGGAAAAACTGAGAGCTTTCTCCCTAAGGTCAGGAATGCGGCAGGGATGTCCACTATCACCACTGCTATTCAACATAGTATTAGAAGTCCTAGCCACAGCAATCAGACAACAAAAAGAAATAAAAGGCATCCAAATCGGCAAAGAAGAAGTCAAACTCTCACTCTTTGCAGATGATATGATACTTTATGTGGAAAACCCAAAGACTCCACCCCAAAACTGCTAGAACTCACACAGAAATTCAGTAAAGTGGCAGGATATAATATCAGTGCACAGAAATCAGTGGCATTCCTATACACCAAAAACAAGATAGAAGAAAGAGAAATTAAGGAGTCAATCCCATTTATAATTGCGCCCCAAACCATAAGATAACTAGGAATAAATCTAACCAGAGAGGCAAAGAGTCTGTACCCAGAAAACTATAAAATACTCATGAAAGAAATTGAGGAAGACACAAAGAAATGGAAAAATGTTCCAAGCTCATGGATTGGAAGAACAAATATTGTGAAGATGTCAATGCTACCTAGAGCAATCTACATATTCAATGCAATCCCTATCAAAATACCATCCACTTTTTTCAAAGAAATGGAACAAATAATCCTCAAATTTGTATGGAACCAGAAAAGACCCTGAATAGCCAGAGGAATGTTGAAAAGCAAAGCTGGCGGCATCACAATTCCCGAATTCCAGCTCTATTACAAAGCTGTCATCATCAAGACAGTATGGTACTGGCACAAAAACAGGCACATAAATCAATGGAACAGAATAGAGAGCCCAGAAATGGACCCTCAACTCTATGGTCAACTAGTCTTTGACAAAGCAGGAAAGAATGTCCAATGGAAAAAAGACAGTCTTTTCAACAAATGGTGTGGAAAAATTGGACAGCCACATGCAGAAGAATGAAACTGGACCATTTCCTTACACCACACACAAAAATAGACTCAAAATGGTTGAAGACTTCAATGTGAGACAGGAGTCCATCAAAATCCTAAAGGAGAACACAGGCAGTGACCTCTTCGACCTCAGCCACAGCAACTTCTTCCTAGAAACATCGCCAAAGGCAAGGGAAGCAAGGGCAAAAATGAACTATTGGGACTTCACCAAGATAAAAAGCTTTTGCACAGCAAAAGAAACAGTCAACAAAATCAAAAGACAACCGACAGAATGGGAGAAGATATTTGCAAATGACATATCAGATAAAGGGCTACTATCCAAAATCTATAAAGAACTTCTTAAACTCAACACCCAAAGAACACATGATCCAATGAAGAAATGGGCAGAAGACATGAACAGACATTTTTCCAAAGAAGACATCCAAATGGCCAACAGACACATGAAAAAGTGCTCAACACTGCGTGGCATCAGGGAAATCCAAATCAAAACCTCAGTGAGATATCACCTCACACTAGTCAGAATGGCTAAAATTAACAAGTCAGGAAATGAGAGATGTTGGTGGGGATGCGGAGAAAGGGGAACCCTCCTACACTGTTGGTGGGAATGCAAGCTGGTGCAGCCACTCTGGAAAACAGTATGGAGGTTCCTCAAAAAGTTGACAATAGAGCTACCATAGGATCCATCAATTGCACTACTGGGTATTTACCCCAAAGATACAAATGTAGTAATCCGAAGGGGTACATGCACCCCAATGTTTATAGCAGCAATGTCCACAATAGCCAAACTATGGAAAGAGCCAAGATGTCCATCAGCAGATGAATGGATAAAGAAGATGTGGTACATATATATAATGAATATTATGCAGCCATCAAAGGGAATGAAATCTTGCCATTTGCAATGACGTGGATGGAACTGGAGGGTATTATGCTGAGCAAAATAAGTCAATCAGAGATAGACATGTATCATATGACCTCACTGATATGAGGAATTCTTAATCTCAGGAAACAAACTGAGGGTTGCTGGAGTGGTGGGGGGGTGGGAGGGATGGGGTGGCTGGGTGATAGACATTGGGGAGGGTATGTGCTATGGTGAGTGCTGTGAATTGTCTAAGACTGATGAATCACAGACCTGTACCTCTGAAACAAATAATACATTATATATTAAAAAAAGAAGAAGAAGATAGCAGGAGGAGAAGAATGAAGGGAGGGACTCGGAGGGGGAGACGAACCATGAGAGACTATGGACTCTGAGAAACAAACTGAGGGTTCTAGAGGGGAGGGGGTGGGAGAATGGGTTAGCCTGGTCATGGGTATTAAAGAGGGCAGGTATTGAATGGAGCACTGGGTGTTATATGCCAACAATGAATCATGGAACACTACATCAAAAACTAATGATATAATGTATGGTGATTAACATAATAATTTAAAAAAATGCATTACATTTGAAAGTTGAGATAGTGTTCATCACAATGATAGCCGTAAAGATAGTAGTTTAATAGTGATTATGACTGCAATGCTAGTTCTGTGACAACTTATTTCATTTCTTCAATAAAAAGTTATCGAGTGCCTATGTCACAATTTGAGATTTATGTATTCATTTAATCCAAACTATGCATAAGTCAATGTGACTGATGAGGAAATATGCTAGCAATGATTCAGTCCATTAAAATAAAAAAATTTATTAACTAAACATTTATTTTTTTTAATTTTTTATTGTTATGTTAATCACCATACATTATATCATTTAACTAAACATTTATTGAGTGCCTATCATGTGCCAGGTACTATGCTAAGGATACAATGCAATTTATCATTTAGTAGAGATGGGGGACAGAGATCATTCAACCAATCATTTTATATATATATATAATTTTATATATATATAAGTATATATATATATAATTTTTAACGATTTATTTATTTATTTTAGAGAGAGAGAGCATGAGTAGGAATAGCAAGAATAAAGACAGGGAGGTGCATTCCCATTAGGTAGATCCCAGACTACCCATGTGTGGAGGAAGCATGGACTTCAGGAACTAGAGAAGGATACTTATGTATATTAGGAATACAAAGCACTCAGTCAACACTACATACATTGCAAGGATATGTAAATACTTAAGAACATATAAGAAACACATTTAAAAGGGAGTGCCAATAGTAGGAACTGGAAGAGAATGGCCAAAAGCATTACAAATGAAGACAAAGTAAACAATATTTAGAACAATAAATATTGTGTGCAATAAACTTTAACTGAAGGCTCTGCACTTGAGACTAAAAATGAAGAAATGAAAGAAAAATTATCATTACTCTCAGAGGTTAAAAATACATAATAGAGTCAGAGAAGGTCATCCATCTCAAAAACAGGATGAAAGCATGTGGACTAAAGCACTTCTAGAATCAGATGGAACATGAGTATTTTAAAGAGTTTCTCTCATGAACCTGAAACTCTAAAGAACTTTGCCACCCTTATTTCTATGATGCCAAAGTTTTACTGATAGAGAAGGCCTATCAGCTCCCACAAACTGCCTATGTGTCAGTGTCATGATGGTGGGAAGTGGCCCATGTTCTCATATGTACAAATAGGCACCCAGTTCATCTTTCCCTGATCTTCTAAGTCACTTGTTCCAGGTCCACAGATGTCCTCATTGTTTCTTAATTCCTTGATTCGTTTATCTCATCAACACAAGTAAATCATAAACTCTTAGAAGAAAGATGTATTCAAAAAATTACTTGCTTGAGATACCCCAGCACTTCTGTTTTCCATCCCAATACCTAAACACTATATAGACCTCAGAAGAGATTTCCCAACTTCCAAACACACAAGAAAACTTCATTTGCTTTCTCTTGACTGTCCCTACCAGGTAAATGACCTGGGCTGTGGGGCCCCCACCCCATAGGGGAGGACCACCGTTGCCCTGAGATCCAGCTGATGAGAACTACACTCAGGTGGGCTCAATCTGCTTGGGCCTTAACATTTTAAACAGCTGCTCCTGGATCTGCTTGGTCTTGACTCCATAGACAATGGGGTCTAGTGCAGGGGGAAAGAGCAAGTAGAGATTGACAAGGATGACCTTAGCAGCAGAGGCTGTGGGTGGGCCAAAGCGCTGCATGACCACAGAAAGAAAGCCTGGTCCATAGAAGAAGAGGATGACACAGACATGAGCCGTACATGTGCTGCCTGCTTTAGCACGTGCCTCAGGTGAAGAAAAATGAATCACAGTCCTCACAATCTGTCCATAGGAATAAACAATAAAGGCTACATCACCCACATCAAGAAAGATTGCTACAGCAAAGGCATAGAGGTTATCCACAGTGGTGGCCCCACAGGCCAACTTTACTACTGCCATATGCTCACAGTAAGTATAGGCAATTGTGTGAGAGCCACAGTAGGGCAGCCGATGGGCCAAGCTTGGGAAGGAGATGGTCAACCCCACACCTCGCAGCACCACTTGGCCTCCAATCTTGGCAACAACCGGGGTAAGAATGGTTGCATAATGTAGTGGGTTACAGATGGCCACAAAATGGTCCATGGCCATGGCCACCAGCACTCCTGACTCCATAGCAGAGAATGTATGGATGAAGAACATCTGGGGAAGACAGGAGTGGGAGCTGATAGCTGTAGCACCAAACCAGAAGATGGCCAGCATCTTAGGCAGAGCAGAGAGGGAGAGAACCAGGTCAACAAAGGAGAGCATGGCAAGAAAGAAAAACATGGGCCAATGAAGGCTGTGCTTGGTCCAGATAAGAAAAAGCAGAACACAATTCCCAGTCACTGCCAGGAAGAACATGAAGCAAAAGGGAAGTGAGATCCAAATGTGGGCAGCAGTCAGTCCTGGTATGCCAGCCAAGAAGAAAGTATGTGGGAAGTTATGAGAATTATTGGAAAGAATCATGGTGATCATCTCACTTAGAAGAGTGAAGGGCTACTGCAAAGAAAGGAGGCAGGTTAAATTCAGTGTATGTGGAGATCGGGAGCTCCAGATATATGGTCCTACTAACAACACTGTCACCATCACTCTTCCCCCATAGGTCTCAATAAACAGTCAAAAATAATTTTCAGTTTAGTTAATATTTCTGCAAGATCTTCAAATACAGAAGAGGCAAGTCAGCTTGGTCCCGTAGGAAATGCATTGGGCAAGAAGTTCAGAAACCAGGTTCCAGAATTGAATATGCTAATAAATCTATGACCTGGAGCAATTTGACATAACCAGATTTAAGTAGATGCCCAGAAACTAATGCTAAAAAAAATTCCTTCCCATCATGCTCACATTCCCAAGTTCTGAATTCTGGACTGGATTTAATCAGCACTGACCTCACATGGTCCTTTAGTCTCATATCACTAACATTTATCTGAAACTGTCAAAAATCCTAACATCTGGAAACTCCCTTAGTTTGGAGATGTCACACTCCTCCAAACTTCACTTGACTGCCATGTTACAGACTAAATGGTCCCTGATGATGCCAAAATTGATTAGGTTCTTCCTGCAATTATTCTCCAATCATTTCACAAATGTGTATCTTGTTTCTCTCCCCAGAATCTCAATCCTGTATCTCCCTCTCCTTCAAGGTAGTGGTGTACAGAGGTAGACACAAAGTTCAGATTTGTGGTGATCTGTAAAAAAACAGAAGCTCTTGGTAATAACTGTCAGGTGAAAGCCAAAGAATTTTAAATCATGCCAAATTAATGAGAACAGAAGAAAAAAATGGGCAGACATTCCCTCCAGTTCCATTTCTCATGTAATCACAAAAAGTATACAAAATTTTTCAGATCCACAATATATCCTGTGCCCAATACCATTGTTTTGTAGGTTAGAAAACTGAGGTCTAAAATGAAGTAAAATGGCCGAGGGTCACAGATCAATTTAGTGACAGAATCAGACAAGAGCTCACATCAAACCGATCCCTGATTCCCTAGCTAGGAAGTCATCACCCTCTCTGTGTGTTAGCAGTGACTGCTGCCCGGCCAAGGAAGAACATCCAGGGCTGGGTGGCCAAGGGTGTGCAGTAAAGGGATCAAATAGCAGGGCAGATAAGGAACAATTTAGGGAGTACAGGTCTTCCCAACACCCCTCAATACCTCCAGTGCCACAATTCTCTCATGTGAAAGAAAAACACAAGGAAACAGAGAGATCTAGGTCTAGGGTCTAAGAGGGCTTAGGATCATAAGATAAGTGATTCACATTCCGGGCAGAAAAGATGCAGCTGGGTTGATCTCACAATTCCAATGACAGAAATAAGTGGTCTCTAAGCATGAGGAAAAGAAGAGAAGTCAGCCAGGAGCATAATCCAAGAAAGAAGAAACAGCACAGCTTAAAGTGGCCAAGAATGTTTTGCTTTTCTCTCCAAGAGAAACTATGTGATTATTGCCCATACAGTCACCACAACCACTAAGGAGACTGTGTAACCTCAGCAGAAGGCATGAGAGCTGGGAAGATGGAGATTAGAGTAGACCAATAGTCCTCATGTCCTGGAATAAACTCTGGACCAGGAGTCAAGGTCCTGATTTGAGGTACTATTCCTGCCATATGTCAGCTCTGTGACTTGAAGGAAATCATCTAACCATTTCCAAGCCTTGGTTTCCTCACATGTGTAATGAATATACTAAAACCCATCTCACAGGATCATTGTGAGAATCCAATGAGATATAATATGTGAAAATCCTTTGTCAAGAGCTGAAAATAGTATATTATTTTCACTGAATTATAAAAAATAAATAACACATTTGGAGGAATCTGCTTACGAGCAACAGAAACTTCAGAGATTCAGAAGCAATGCATTTGATTTGATAAGGGATGATATATTCATCCAATGGGTGGCTATTATGTAGCCAGGACTAGGTTACTAACCCAAAGGCACATAGTCAAAAATACCATATCATCTCCAATATTGCTTCCCTCTTCCTTCCCAACCCCTCAGCACCCCCAGGGAACACTGCTGTGTGCGTTGGTGGTGGGGGAGGAGGGGTTGAATGGTGTCAAGAAATGTGGCTCTGACCACCTGAGCATCAGCTTCACATGATCCTCAAAGCTGCCCATCCTTAAGCCTCAGCCAGCCTTGTGGAACATGACAGTATCTTCAGAACAGTTTAAGAAATAATTACCTCTAATGCCCCTCAGGACCCAGCAAATGTCCCTCATTATAACCTTGTGCCTCATGGAAAAGTATGACCCAGTAAGCTCAGCTCCTTTACTTCCATAAGGGAAGGTTAAGGGAGGGAGGGGGTCCTGGAACCAGAAGAATCTAGGACACAGATTGAGGTGTCTCCATAAATGTTTCCCTATGACTCACTCTGTGGGTTTCAAAGAGGAACAGACTTACAAATAGCTTACCATTGAGCCAGGACTAGAAAGATGTTTGCCTGCTTGGGAGTAAGTAATTCTCACACACCTGATACTTCCCTTGCCTGTGTCTGTATAACACAAAAGGTCCAAATAGACTTTTGATGATCTACACATCATCAGTATTGGAGGTATTTCCAATTTTTCCCAGTGATATCAAGACCATGCATTTCCACCCCAGACAGTCTATCAGATTATCCAGATCTGGGAAGGTTGGTGAAAAGTTAATTTGTGGATGAAGCCTGTATGTATCTCTCTTCCTTGGGCCTACCCTTAGCCACTACTCACCAAAGAGCTGCACTGTTTAACCTACAGAAGGATGAGAAGAAGTTAAGCTACCAGTCAAGTTCCAAGAACAGGGTATTTAATGGGCATCTTTTCAGGCATTGCCTATAGGGATCCAAAATGAAGCTCCCACCACCCAGACACCAATTAGTACTTCTGCCTCTTCTTCAAACAAAGGTTCAACAAGGTCTCTTCTTCTTACTAGGACCCCAGGGAACAGCCCCAGCAGAGAATATTTTGAATACTCCAGGGTGCCATGTCAAGAGAGGCCTTGCATCCAGAAACAAGGTAAAGCTTTCTGCCATAGGGAGTGGGGACTACCTGATTTGATGGCAAGCATGATCTTATCTAGAGTGAGTGAGAAAGAAGGCAGGGATGGGGAGAGCCAACACCAGGACCAACATACAACATTACCTAAATGAACCCCCCCCTCCATGATATAGGTGGAACCATGAGAGGAAGAATGGATTAATAAGTAGAAGACTTTATGAGAAAGGATAACCTGCCCAGGGAATAAGAGTGAAGATAATGTCAAATACCTGAACTCAAAATGGTAGGTACAAGGGTATGCCAAGTCTTGTAGGTACTACCGTCCATATATTATCTCACCTTAAGTGAAATTACCTACAACTCTGTCCCTTCTTAACCAATCTCTCTACATTTGATTCTCATTTCAGCCACCAAAATCACTCTTGAAAATGGTGCCAGGTTAATCTATGGGAGGATATTCAAGATTATGAAGGATCTGATTGAGAGGGATTTGATGGATTAAGAAGGATTCAAAAAATTGAGTGTGTACAGCTTACACAAGAGAACACTTGTGGTGACATGTAAGATTTTTCATGGATTCTTCAAGTCCAGGAAGAAAGTCCCTGCAGGGGAAAAATTATTTGTTTTGTAAAGCCAAAGTAAAAAAAAACAAGAACAAACCCATGCAAATTTATGGTTCAGGACTCAGTAAGACCTGTGTCTTTAGAATGATGCTCCCTTATCAGAAAGACAAAGGGCAACATAGGCTATATGGGAAGGGAACAGCACAAGGTTTATTGGTAAGGGTCAGTACCCAAATCAGGTCATCCATTTCTGAGAGCCATGCTCTAAGGGTACCAAACCAGTTCCAGAGAGAAGAAGAAGACATAGCAGGTGTCATTTCAGGTAGAGCCAAGATTAGGAATCCTAATATGAAACACTCAGTTTCCTAACACAGAAGTCAAGTTGGATAACAGTGAGCTTAGAGCAGAAGATGCTATGATGTCTCTGAAACTGCAGAGAGGTATTATGAAGCAGAAAATACCAGCCCAGAGCCCCAGCAGAGGAGGAAGGAGTAGGCAGAACAAGTAGCAAGAGCAACATCAAGTCCAGTCTAAGAGGCACTGGTAACAGACACAGTAACTCAGGCCCAGGAAATAAAGAAAAGTCTCAGAATTAGAACTCTAGATTAGTGTGACTATGGACTGCTTGACTGAAACTCTGAACCTTCACCTAAAGTCAGAAACCGTGTAAAATATCAAGAGAATGGAACTGGTTAAAGCTCCAAAAATAGTCAAGAGGACTGGGATCAATAATTTGTATCAAAAAAATATATTTCCTGAGTTCCCCTTAAGGTTGTGGAAAGAAATTCAGAGATTTTAAACACGGTCAAGTGGAAGATACACATCAAACCAAGGCGAAGCACCACCAAAGTCAAAGCAGAGACATACACAGGGATTTGTGGCCACACCATTGAGAGATGGGAACACCTGGAGAGAGAGCACCTAATTATACCTGTGGAGATCAGGGAAGGCTTCACAAATAAGGCAACATTAAAGAGGAAAGTTGAAGGGTGGAATAGAATATTCCAGAATGACTCACTAGCCCTAAAAGGGACTCCAAACTCATAAAGTATGGAATTTTGGATAAACAGCTAAGAGATCAATATTGAGGGAACAGAGCAGAGGGATGAGGTTTGAGAGGAAGGTTGGACCCAGACTGTGGCAAGTCTTGAGTGCTCTGCCCCACAGCCCTACATGTTAATAAGAGGGCAGTGGCACAGATTGATTCATGCTTAAATAGGTTTCTTTCACAGTGTTCTAGGCATAAGAAGATAATATGATATTAGAGTGGGTAAGAATTGATGAAAATCTGGAAGAAAGCAGTGGCAATGGGGTAAAATGGAGGAAATTGGATCAAGTCTTTACTGGCAAATTCTATCAAACTTTTAAAAAAGAAACAATGACAATCCTTACAATAGAAATAGCAATGCAAACTTTTAGAAAACAAGGGAAGAGGGAACACTTCCCAACCCATTTTATGACAAAATCATATAGACAGTACAAGATAGGACAATCCAACCCAAAATCCCTCATGAACACAGATATAAAAATCCTTAACAAATGATTAGCAAATACGATCCAACAACATATAAAAAGAATATTATATCATGAATAGATTGGGCTTTCCCAAAAATGCAAGATAAATTATAATTCAAAATAAATTCTCGTCACATTAACAAAATAATGAAAAGCATACAGATCCCTCTTATTGGAGACAAAAGTAAAATCATTAGACAAAGACCAACATTCTTTTATGATAATAATAGAAAAAATGCTCATCATAATGGAAATAATAGGAAATTTCCCAAACATGATAAAAAGTATCAGTGTAAACCTTTAACATCAAACATATAGTAAAAAGTTGAGGGCTTTCTCCCTAAAATCAGGATTATCAAGGATACCCACTCTTACCACTTCTATTCACCCTTGTACTAGA